GCGGGCTACTCAAGAACAAGAATCAGATGAGGAGATCCAAAGGAAGCGTATCCGTGATATACTTAGCGCTCCCACAGAAGATGAAGATTTTATGGGTTTTGAAAGGAGTGATGGGACTGGGAGTGACATTTTTTATATATATTTAAGATGTTTTATTACACACAGAGAGGAAGTTTAGTACATGGGAGTGACATTGAGAAGGAGGGTGATTTGGACTGGACCCGTGTACAGGAAATTAGGGATATCTGTACTCAGCCTACCTCCAGTGATGACTTTGAGGGGTTTACAGAAGAGTGGCAATCGGGGAACACTTGGGAGGACCTAAGTCTTGACAGACGCTGGCAAAGGTGGAGAGATGGGAGGCCGTGTTCAGCTGCAGGGAATGGGGGCAGCTGAAAGTGATGATGAAAGGGTGGGGAGCAGTTCATCCTGTGATGAGGAGCTTTAGGATATAAGTGGGTTTGGTTTCAATGGGTCTTTGCAGAAGGCAAAGTGTCTTTTTGGGTGTGTATCTTTGTTCCTGCCATTACTCTCAAGCTTGGGTCCTTCGACTACAGATCTTCCGTGACTTCTGGCTGATACTTCGTACGTTCTGACTACAACTCTCCCTGTTTGACTCCGGACCGTGTTTTGACAATGACTATGCTTTTTGGACTGCTTCTTCTTGCTTCGAACGTGCCTGGACTACAGACTGCCTTTGGACTCTGATTTTGCTTGCTCCCACATTGTTTTTTGGTACCTTTTGGACATTTTGAATTACAAGCAGATTGCTTATATTTTCGTTATCCCAGATTATACTGCAGGATAATCCGGATTATATTTAAGTTGGGTTTTTTACTTAGCGGTTGCTATAGACTTTGAGTTTATGCTAGAGACACATTTTTAAGGTGTAACTCCAGCTCTCTCTCTATATATATATATATATATTTCTTTGCTTTGGATAGCATAAGGAAGGGTTAACCCCCCTGTGGTGTTTGTTTTGCTTTTTGTGCCCCTGTTCAGAAGATTTTTAAGGTGTAACTCCAGCTATATATATATATATTTCTTCGCTTTGGATAGCATAAGGAAGGGTTAACCCCCCTGTGGTGTTTGTTTTGCTTTTTGTGCCCCTGTTCAGAAGATTTCACCTCACTTTCTGTTCCTGTGATAATTGAATTTTGAAAATTTTGGCTTGTAGTGGAAATTAGTGTGCATCTTACAAATGACTTAGATGAAGGGCTAGAAGGCATGATCATCAAGTTTGCAGACGACACCAAATTGGGAGGGATAGC